GCAAAGGAAAATAGCTTTAGATACTTAAGTGACAATAGAATTTATTCTCATAATTGTTTTAATAGCTTTTGTATAATCCTCATCGCTATTATGAGATATAAAATGTATTTATCAAATCTGTAATCATTATGCCAAAAAATCTGAATTACTCTAATATTTTGTATATTGTTAAAACTGTAACTTTAATTGTAAAAAAAAACAAAATAAAAAAAAATTTTGAGGCAAAAAGAGGTTGCAAGTAGCAAAAAATTAAAAAAATATATATAAAGAAAAAAAATGTAGATGCTGGGCGTGGTGGCCCACACCTTTAATCCCAGCACTTGGGAGGCAGAGGCAGGTGGATCTCTGTGAGTTCAAGGCTAGCCTGGCCTACATAGCAAGTTCCGGGTGAGCTGGGGCTACAGGGAGACCCCGTCTCAAAAAGACCAAAAAAAAAAAAAAAAAAAGATGGTTCATGAAGAACAGCTGTGTGTGTGCACACACAGTATAAAGTACACACATACCCAGCCCTATAAATACATCTTCTCCATGGTCCAGTTAATGCAAGAGACCTTTCCTGTTTCACCAGCATTTGCTAGTCCATTCTCAGATAGCCTTCTTCCCTCTAATATTCAGCTCCTCCCTTTATGGTCCACATCAGGCTGGCTTCCTGGGACTCTACTTCCTGTCTTCTCTGGCTCCTTCCCTTACCATCAAAGATGCAGCTCAGCTAGCTGTGCTCTGGCTTCTTAATCCTGGTAGGAAGTCTTGCTGTCTTTTGTTCCTTTTTCATTTCTGAAATGAGTGGTGGATTCACTGGCTAGTCCTAACAGCCTGGGCTCTCCATAGTTCCTTTCATTTGAAGTGTTTTCTCTCTAACTCTAATACAGCTGATAGAAGATCACCAAGGGTACAATGAAAGCAAGCCAAATTAACTTTCTTGTGGCTGAAATCAACCACATTGTTCTCATTTAGATGAATCCTTTATTTTTATTTTATGTGTATGAGTGTTACACCTACATGTATATGCACCCGTGCTATGCAATGCCCACAGCCAGAGAGGGTGTCAGATCTTCTGGAACTGGAGTTTCAGATGGTTGTTCGCTACCATGTGGATGCTGGGACAGATAAATCCTTTCTTAGGTCTTTACAATTCTAGGTACTTTCCCCATAACAGTCTCTTTCTTCTCTTCACTCCTTTTTCCTTCTTCTACCATTATTTAGTAGGTGTCCTTTAAAAAATTCACATTTCTTAGTACGGCAATTTTGGAATATGGTATGGAAGTTCTTAAAGGGACTAAAAATAGGACTGGGAGGGATGACTCAGTTGGTAAAGTGCTTGCCTTGCAAGGGCAAGGACCTAAGTTAACCCTCAGAACCCATGTAAAAATATGGGCATGTAATCCCAGAGACAGGATAATTCCTAAGGTTTGCTGGCCAGCCAGTCTAGCCTAACTGGTAAGGTCCAGGCCAATGAGAGGCTTTGTCTTAAAGAAGGTAGATGGCCTTCCTGAAGGTGACATGTGGAGTTGTTTCAGGCCTTCACACACAAACACACAGATGAACATGCACATACACATACATATGATTATAGCAACATCACAATACATATGCTCAGTTATCTCACTTATGGATATAGACCCAAAGGATCTATTATCAGTTATTTCAAAGAAATATCTATGCGCCTATATTTATTTTAGCACATTCACAGTAGCCAAGACACATCCATCAGCAGGTGGATACGGAAAACATGAAACAAATGCCCAACAGAATATGACACCATACCTCATACTTTTATTCTTTGACAGCTTCATACATGTATATAGCAAATTTTAATCATGTTTGCCCGCACTACCCTCCTTCTTTGGCTAAAACTGTTCTTCTCAAGTGGTTCCTCTTCTGCTTTCCTATCTCTTTGTGTATGACCTATTGAGTTTAAGTAGGGTTGCTTGCATGAGCAAGGGTGGGAGGTTATTTACTGAAACATGGGCAACTTTTCAGTGGTTACATCACTGAAGAAAATCATACCCCCTCCCCCAACAACTGATAACTGCCAACAGTCTCTCAGGGAAGGGTGGAGCTTCATAAGCCCCTCCTCCACCCACAACGAAATATTACCTGGCCAAATCTGTACTGTTTTGTAGATGACCACAGCTGCAGTGAATTCATGAATGCGACAGCTATGCCACATTAAGAAAAAAAAATTTTTTGTAGCACATCTCTGTAATTCTTCCCCTCTAACATTCTTTCCAATCGTTTTTCTACAATGTTCCCAGGGTCTTGGAGGGGGTAATACAGATGTACCATTTAGGGTTGAGCATTCCACCAACACTTATTCTTGGCACTATGATTCCGTTTTAAGTCTCTGTATTAACCATCACCCACAACAATAATTTGTTTTTGTATGTTGTTTTTGTTGTAGGCCAGATCACAGAGATCTGCAAGCCTCTGCCTCCCAAGTGCTGGGATTAAAGGCATGACCACCATGCCTGACATATGTTGTTTTCTTTAGAGACAAGTTCCAGGCTAGCCTGGAACTCATTATGTAGCACAGACTGGCCTTGAACACAAGATAATCTTGCTTCAGTTTCAAAGTGCTGAGATAACCAGTGTATGCCACTACACCTAGAGTCTACAGTTTTTAGAATGAACTCTGCAGGGCTGGAGGGATATCATAGCCATTAAAGGTTAAGGATTAAAAACCAAAAAATTAAAATAAATTCTGCCATTTGTAGCATGAATAAGCCTAGAGGACATTATCATAGGTGAAATAAACCATATAATCATTGCAGATCTCACTTATAGAGGTGGCTTGGCTGTAAAGAACACTTACTGCTCTTACAGAGGACCACAGTTTGGTACCCAGCCCCCACACTGGATGACTCAAAACAGCCTATAACTCTTGCTCCAGGTGGATCTGATACTTCGGGCACCTGTATTCACATGTACATTCCAACACACAGAGACATATACATAAATACACATAATTAAAAATAAAGGGGCTGGAGAGATGGCTCAGCACCCACATAGCAGCTAACAACTGTCCTTAACTCCAGTTCCAGGGGCTCTGACACCCTCTTCTGGCCTCTGCAGGCATTGAATGACAAGGGTGCACTTACATGCAGGCAAAACACTCATACACATAAACTAAAATAAATATATTTTAAAAAACTGGGGACAGGCCTGGTGGTGTACACCTTTAATCCCAGCATTTGGGAGGCAGAGACAGGTGGATTTCTGTGAGTTTCAGGACAGCCTGGTCTACATAATGAGTTCCATGCCAGCTGGGGCTACAGGGAGACCCTGTCTCAAAGACCAAAAGAAATTTCCTTTTTAAAAAGATCTTGGGGCTGGGCGTGGCGGCGCACACCTTTAATCCCAGCACTTGGGAGGCAGAGGCAGGTGGACCTAAGTGAGCTCAAGGCCAGCCTAGTCTACATAATGAGTTCCAGGACAGCTGGGGCTACAGGGAGACCCTGTCTCAAAAAGACCAAAAAAAAAAAAAAAAAAAAGATCTCAGGGCTGAAGAGATGGTCCAGCAGTTAAGAGCACTTGCTGTTCCTGCAGAAGACCCAGTTTTGAATCCCAGCACCACATAGCATTTAACAACTGTCAGTAACTCCACTTCTAGGGGACTCCAACACCCTCTTCTATCCTCCTCGGGGGCTGTACAACATGGGTGTACTTACATACATGCAGGCATACACTCATACACATAAAATAAAAATTTAAAGTTAAGAAATTTAAAAAAAGATTTCACTTATAGGTGGATTCTAAAAAAAAAATCAAACTCATACAGAGTTGTGGTAACCAGAAGCTGGTGTGGGGGAGAGATGAGGAAAGAGACAGACATTAGTCAAAGGCAATGACAGTCTCTGAAATGGGAAAGTTTCAGTGAGATATACTGCATGTCATGGTATGGTAACTATAATTAATGATATGTTGTGTTTTATTTTTTTGGTCTTTTTGAGACAGGGTCTCCCTGTAGCCCCAGCTGTCCTAGAATTCACTATGTAGACCAGGCTGCCCTTGAACTCACAGAGATCTGCCTGCCTCTGCCTCCTGAGTGCTGGGATTAAAGGCGTGTGCCACCATGCCCGGCTAATGTTGTATATTTTTAAATTGCTAAAAAGGACCTTAAATGTTCTCACCATAAAAAAATAGATGACATTACAGCTACGTCAGCATCATTTAGTTTTTCCACAATGTGTACATGTTCGAAAACATCATGTTGTGCTCCATAAACGTTACAGTAACTATCAGAAAAATTCAGATTTCCATATTCTAATTTTCAAAACATTTATTATTCACAATTCCAGCTAAAACCTCTAGATAAACGGAAACACGAACTGATAAGCACTTTTCAATTTGAAAAATATGGAAAATTGAGAGAGGTGGCTGAGGAGTTAAGAGCACTGGCTACTCCTGCGGAGGCCCCAAGTTCACTTCCTAGCACTCATATGGAAACTAACAACCTATCTGTAACTCCAGTTCCAGGGAAATCTGACACCCTCTTTCTGGCCTCCATGGGCATTGCAGGCATGGATACACTTACATACATGTAAGCAAAACAATCATAGACATAAAATTTTTTTAAAAGTTATGAGAAGAGCCCATTGCAAGCAAGAGGCCCTGAACTTAAGCTTCACTGGTTTCACATGAAATACACTTCTAGCTTCACAAATAAACCTGATGAAGTCAAAATCTGAGCTGGAAAAATAGCTAACAACACACAAATATTAGGCTTGAGCTTCCTGTTAGAACCTTGACAATAGGCTTATTGCATAGGAAGTAGTTAGGATTATTCAGAGCAGTACAAAGTTACCTCAGAAGAGATCTAGACCATTCTTGCTGTCTAAGACATACACTATAGAGAAAAATAGCTGTACACACCTGAAAGTTACATGGTACTGATAAACTGCTTCATTATGACACTGGATTTTGATGAGGTTCAGTCCCAAATATTGAGGTATTCCTTTTGATCCTTGCTTGACAAAAAGCTCTCTGGAAAAATAAAGGGAAAAAAAGATATGGGGCTGGGGAGATGGCTCAGTGGTTAAGAGCACTGGTTGTTCTTGCAGAAGACCCGGGTTTGAATCCCAGCACCAACATGGCAGCTAACAACTGTCCATAACTCCAGTCCCAGGGGATTCGACAGCCTCTTCTGACCTCTGAGGGCATTGCATGACATGGGTGCACTTACCTACATGCAGGCAATACACGTATACACATAAAATAAAAATAATAAATAAAATTTAACAAAGAGAAAAAAACGATACAAGACAGGCATGATAACATACAACTTAGTTCCATCTACTCTAGAGGCTAAAACAGAAGGATTGCTTGAGCCTGTCAGTTTAAGGCGACCCATGTATCCCCAGTTACCAACTGATCAACCAACCCCCATTAACAAGAGAAAGATTGGGGGGAAAAGTAATGTTTTTTTTTTTCCCATTTCACTTACAGATATACAAACTAAGAAACAAGATGCATTAAAGCAAGCTTTGAAGATAAATCCATAGCAATGTCTAACAGCATGGGCAAAGCTACTTAGCTGCCTTAGTAATAGTACATGAATCTCAAAGCCAGCTACCAAAGAACAAAGAATTAGTTCCACAGAGAACGATGACTTGCTGCCAATATTTGTCCTGAATGACTTCCTTATCTTCAACATGGCAGAAAACTGTCAGTCAATTTGAAAGGAAACAACAGACTGTAAGTTCACTCATAGGCACATGCTACTGTATATACTCACTGTCAAACCCAGTGAACTTCTGCAGGAATTATCCCATCTCTTCATCCATTTCCCTACTGGCAAAATTCAAAACATACTCCAGTCCCTACGACCTCAGTAAGACTTTGGACTCTCAAAATACTGCTCACATTTCTACCCACTAGCCCAAGCAAAGGCTTCTGAAGTTATCTCTTCCTCTGCCATCCCTCCTTTAGCGCACAAGATGCTCTTAACTCACTTTTCCTTCCGCTCCACAGTCAGGACAGGAGGGGGATCTGCAGAGTGCAATGAGGTTGGAGACAGAGTTGGAGGCTGTAGCAGCCGTTGGGGATCCCGGGTGGCCAGGCCAAAGGCACTTGGAGGTTTGTCTGCGCCTCTGCCTATACCACCAGCTGCTCTTCCCAGTGGTAATAAAGAGACATCTGAGCTCCCTCTTCTGAGCATTCTGAGATGGGAAAGGGAGGCAAGTCAGGGCTTTTCTGCTCTGCATGGCACCCAGACCATTCCTATAAGCCTACCACTCTTTTCCTGTAGGGAATGCCCAAAGGGGCCTAAGCTCCGTCCTAGGATTCTGTTTATTTACTTATTTAGAGATAGAGCTTTACTATGTAGTTCTGACAGGTCCAGAACTCACCATGTAGGTCACGCTGGCCTTGACTCACAGAAGTCCTCTTGCCGCTGCTGGGACTAAAGTCATGTATCACCAGACCAGGCCATGGGGTTCTCTTTAAATGATGGGTAGTGCTTGGTATTCCCTCTCAGAATATCTATCTTCCTGAGCAGAAGTGAGGGAAATGTGACTCACCCAGACTAAAGGGCGTCTACCATCGGGAGTTTGTGAAGGGGGCAAATTAAACTGTGAGACACCCAGTGGAGAGCTACTCCTCTCCCTTCCCACCTGCCTGGATCAGCAGCAGCTGACTGCTCCTAGAAAATGTCTAGTTTGGAAATGGAAGGTAGCATGCCTGTCCCAGGACCTCTCTTTGCAGCCTACTGCAAACTCACAGGTTACTTTACCTACCTACTCCAACCAACAGATGCCTCTGCCAGCTTGCTGTCCCCAGCTGCCAGCACCGAAGGAGCAGGTAAAGTGGGACGGGGTTCTTCTCTGTCCCTGCGGACCATGTTAACAGACAAGCCTCGACCTAAAATGCCTCTACCTGCAAGAGCCAAACCTCAGCTGTTACTGTGAACACAACATGTTGCAGAGTTAGGTTTCTGAAATCAACCACCTGGACCCAAGAACAGCTAAACCATATATCCTCCACATTCCTGGTTAGTTTTCCACATACCTAAAGGAGGTGCTTCTCGTTCTGAAGGGGCCCGGGAGGCCATCTCAAGGCCCATGCCACGAAACATAGACACCAAACCCAAAGACTCCTAGGGAAATATGATGATTAAAGTTATCATAAGAAGTGTTTTAGAACCATAGAAACTAGGACAGAAACAATGGCTTTCTCAATTCTTTGTAAATAAAAAAAAATGTTCTCCAAATTGTATAAATGCTCTAAGAATAAGGGATATAGGCCAGTGAGATAACTCAGGGAGTAAAAGTGCCTGCTGCCAAACCTAACAACCTGAGTTCAACCCCTGGGACTACATTGTGGAAAGAGAGAATCAACTCTGGCAAGTTGTCCTCTAACCACATGCACTTTGTGGCATGACAGCACACACATAACATACATACACACAGGCATACATGCACACCAAGCAAATAAAAATGTAGTAATTTTTTTTCTAAGTCTTTTTGAGACAGGGTCTCTCTGTAGTCCCAGCTGGCCTAGAATTTGATATACAGATCAAGCTGGCCTTGAAGTCTGCCTGCCTCTGCCTCCTAAGTGCTGGGATTAAAGGCTTGGCCAACATGCCTGGCTATCATATTAGATTTTTAAATATAAGTAGTTATAATTGAAAAGCCTATGAATTGGCCCAGCACTTGGCAGAGGCTGGTGGATCTCTGTGAGATCAAGGCCAAGTTGGTCTACACAGTGAGTTCCATCCAAACCAGCTAGGGCTACAGGGAGACCCCTGTCTCAAAAACAAACAAAACAAACAAAACAAATCTATGAGTTGGGGCTGGAGAGATGGCTCAACAGTTAAGAGCATTTACTTACTGCTCTTTCACAGGACTGAGGCTTGGTTACCAGCTCCCACATGGTCGCTCACAATCATCTGTAACTTCTGTTACAGGGGACTCAATACTCTCCTCTGGTCATCACAGGCACCAAGGACACACACACATATACACGCAGGCAAAAAACTCATAAATATGAAATTAAATCGTTTTTAAAACCTATAAATTGATATACAATATATGAAAATGTCACAAAACAGTTATTTCCATTCTTCTAGTTTTTAACTTTTTAAAAAAATATATTTTATTGGAGCTGGGCATGGTGGCACTCACCTTTAATCCCAGCACTTGGAAGGCAGAAGCAGGAGGATCTCTGTGACTTTAAGGCCAGCCTGGTCTACATAGTGAGTTCCAGGCCAGCTGGGGCTACAGGGAGACCCTGTCTCAAAAAGACTAAAAAATAATTTTATTGGGGCTGAAGAGATGGCTCCGCAGTTAAGAGCACTGGCTGCTCTTGCAGAAGACCAGGGTTCGATTCCCAGCACCCACATGGTGGCTAACAACTGTCCATAACCTCAGTTCCAGGCAATACACTCATACACATAAAATAATAATTTATGTATATAAGTACACCTGTGTTGTGAAATGCCCGAGGAAGTCAGAAGAGGATGATCCTTGGATCCCCCTAGAACTGGAAATATGGATGGTTGTTAGCCATCATGTGGGTGTTGGGAATCGAATCTGTGTCCTCTGTAAGAGCAGCCAGTTCTCTTAACTACTGAGTGACCACTCCAGCTCCAGTTTTTAAAATTTTTTTTTTTTTGGTTTTTTTTGAGACAGGGTCTCCCTGTAGCCACAGCTGGCCTGAAACTCACTCTGTAGACCAGGCTGGCCTTGAACTCACAGAGATCTGCCTGCCTCTGCCTCCCCAGTACTGGAAATAAAGTCATGTTTAGTTTTTAAAATTTTTTAAATAAAAAAAAATTAATCTTTGTGTGTGCTATTTGTGTAAGTGGGCACAGATGCCAGGCTAGATGATGTGCAAGCTTCCAGGGACTTTCCTGTCTCTATTTCCCATCTCCCTGTTAGGTGTACTGGGATTAAGACATGGGATTACAGCTGAGAGCCAGCCACTTTGCCCAGCTTTTACAAGGGTGCTGGAGATTCAAAATGAGGTCCTTATGTTCACACAGCAAGCACTTCACCAACTGAGCTATCTCCCCAAGCCCTTTTCCAATCGTATTTCCTATAGAGCCAAGGTAAAAGGGAACAAGAAGATTGCTTAATAATTTTTTAGAAAGCTAAATCACTTAAGGACATCAGAAGTTTGGGCGGTTGTTTTTTTCTTATTTCATGTATCTCAGGTTGGTCTCACACTTGCTATAGCTGATGACCACTGAACTTCTGATCTTCTGAGCCACAGTGCTAAGACTGCAGTGTTGCTCCACCATGTCCACTTCATGTGGTGCTGGGCTCAACCCCTAGGCTTCATACATGCTAGGCAAGTTTTACCAACTGAGTTACATCCCCAGTTCTGTTTTTTTCTTTTCTTTAACAAGAAAAGAAAATCCTGCTACTGCATTCCTGTGATAATCTTCAAAGTTTGCTGTTACACCAATCAGAACTCCATGTGAATAACACCATTTCATCTGAGCAAACCTACAATACTCTTGTCACAGTTTTTCTTTTCCTTTTTTTTTTTTGAGACAGGGTCTCCTTGTAGGCCCAACTGGCCTGGAACTCACTATGTAGACTAGGCTGGCCTTGAACTCACAAAGATCCACCTGCCTCTGTCTCCCAAGTGCTGGGATTTAAAGGCATGCACCACCATGCCTGGCCATAGCTTTTCTTTTTAAAAATATTTATTATTTTTATTTTTGTGTGTATGAGTATGCATGTATGTAAGTGCACCTCATCTCACGCAGTGCCCACAGAGGTCAAAATGGGATGTCGGATCCCCCAGAACTGGAGTTAAGGACAGTTGTTAGCTGCCATGTGGGTGCTGGGAATTGATCCCAGGTCCTCTGAAAGAGCAGCCAATGCTCTTAACCACTGAGCCATCTCTCCAGCCTCACAGTTTTCTTTTTATGAAACATTATCTAAATCTAGCATGGTGGTGCACCCTTTAATCCCAGCACTCAGGAGGCAGAGGCAGGTGGATTTCTGTGAGATTGAGCCCAGCTTGGTCTACATAGTGAGTTCTAAGCTGGCTGGGGCTGCAGGGAGACCCTGTCTCAAAAAGACAGACAAAAAAAAAAAAACTTATTAACACTTTCTACTCAGAATGATCATAACTGCATCATCTCTATGTACACTTTATCTTTGACATATTAATTATGGATGAATGCTGTTCTTAAAAATGACTATACAAGCTGGGCGTGGTGGCGCATGCCTATAGTCCCAGCACTTGGGAGGCAGAGGCAGATGGATCTCTGTGAGTTCAAGTCCAGCCTGGTCGACATAGTGAGTTCCAGGCCAGCTGGGGCTACAGTGAGACCCTGTCTCAAAAAGACCAAAAAAAAAAAAAAAGACTGTACAGTTAGGAGATTGAGCATACACATGTGTTCATACTGCAGTAGCAACATCGAGGATCCTCTTTACCTGCAAGATTTGGGCAAGGAGTTTTGAAAGGAACGATTATTACCTCAGAGATAGGACTGCTGCCAATACCACAGAGATCCTAATCAGAGTAAAACCTGAACACACAGAAGGAGCAACAGGCTGGAACTCTAAACCCTTCAGTTTTGTATGGAAGGATGGAAAGAGAGATGGATGGATCGACAGGTGACATATGACTGAAAGCTAGAAAACCAACCTAAGGCACTTACCCAGATCTATCTAGTGTTTATTTTGAGGCACTTTTTCTAGACTTGCAACTTGAAGACTTGAACTGCACGCCCAAGATACAACCGCATCTTTATTTTTTTTGAACTCACGGCCTTGTGCATGCTAGCCAAGTACTTCACCACTGAGCTCCATTTTAGCTCTATGTGCTAATTTTTATTTATTTTTATTTTTTAAATTTTAGAATTTTTTTTTTCTGTCTTTTTGAAGCAGGGTTTCCCTGTAGCCCCAGCTGTCCTGGAACTCACTATGTAGACAAGGCTGGCCTTGAACTCACAGAGATCCACCTGCCTCTGCCTTCCAAGTGCTGGGACTACAGGCGTGCGCCACCATGCCAGACTAAATTTTAGAATATTTTTATTATTCCAAAGAGAGACAATTTTTAACACATTTTTCCAGAAATAACTTGAAATACAAACAAAATTTTTTTAAAAAGCCCTTGGTTTTGTAGAGCACACCCTGGTTTCTCAAGTCTTTGAAGACAGTTTCATTTGTCACATAGGTAAACAACCAGATGTGGTCTTACCTTTTGTGCTGATAGGAGCTGTGGGCTGGATTCCTCTGGCTTTCTAAACACATGGCCTCTGCCTGCAGGTCCTGCCCAGGCTGAGTCCAAAGGTTTAGGAGCTTGTGGCCAACAGCCTGGCATTCGCACACATTGAGATGGGTGGACAGGAGCGGGCCCCCTGAACAGCGGCCGAACAGGATCCATTAAAAGGCTTTAGAATGACTGCTGATCCTTTTCTGGTTAATTACCTGCCAGCATTATCAAAAAGATTAAAGATTACAGAGTCTCAATTGTTTGCCTTTTTCTCCCTTCAAGATAAATTCCTAAGGCAGGGAAGATTAGTTAACTGGGTTGGATAAGAGATAGTCTCCTGTAACAAATTCATTTCATCAAAAGATTCACTTATTTATTTATTGTCTTTCTGAGACAGGGTCTCCCTGTAACCTCAACTGGCCTGGAGCTGGCTATGTAGCCCTGGCTGGCCTTGAACTCAACACTCCTCCTGCCTCAGCCTCTCAAGTACTGGGGAATTACACATTTGCCACCAAACCTTTCTTGTTTTTGAGACAATCTTGCCTTGTAGCCTAGACAGACCTTGAATTTGTAAACTTCCAGTGCTAGGATTATAGGAATAAGCCACTATGTCCCACTAAGGCTTCTATTTGAACTAAGAAAATTCCAAGCATCTCCCCTTAACAATTTCTTAGAAACAGAAGCACTCCTTGAACTAATTTTCTACCCAGTCTCTCACAGAACTCAGCCCATTAGTTTAACAACCTATTGTAGAAGGAAGGAATCTTTTTTTTTTTTTTTCCCCCCTGTGGTCTTTTTGAGACAGAGTCTCCCTGTAGCCCCAGCTGGCCTGGAACACACTGAGACCAAGCGGGCCTCAAACTCAGAGATCTGCCTGCCTCCCCACCTCCCTAGTGCTGGGATTAAAGGCATATGCCACCAAGCCCAGCTGAAGGAAGCAATTTTTATGTATGGTGATGATTTTAGTTATGGTTAACATAGCCACATCATAAAATTATTCTATAAATAATACTTATGGGTTTTGCTTTTTTTTCTCTTTTATCAGTTTTCTTTCCATCTACAACTGCATTCAAATCAAGTCCTTGTTGGATTTAGTTGCTTTTCTCAATCTTTCTCCAATTATTTTCAAACACCAACAAGACTGAGATCTCTAGGTTACAGAACCTTTCTGTTTTGGGCCTAGCAGGTTGTATTTAACACCTTGCCTCCCTAGATAACCAGGGATGAGCCCCAGACTCCATCTCAAATCTAAGATCCATCACGCCTCTTCAAAATCAATTTTTGTAATTCACAACTTCTTATAATTCACAGATTTCAGAACTCCCTCTATAAGAGGTTTCTCTCACCATGTCAACCAGCCCCTGATTCCTAAAGGCATGTTAAGCAAACTTGCACTCTCTACCCTCCCAATCCCAGGAATCTTTCTTAAATGTAAATTATGCCTTTTTGAACTTTTGAAAATCTGCCATGCCTATGAGCTACAGAGAAATCCTGCCATGCACAGAAAGGATGGACTTACTCAACTCTAGTCACTAGTCTAGACGGCAGAAAAGACGCTCCTCAGCAGCTGCCCTTCCTGCCACACCTCCCCAGCCCCTACCTAACAATCTAGAACAGTCGGTGGCCTAACTGGTTCATAGAGGATCATGCACTAAGCGAACTCAACAAAACCACAGGGCGGGCTCGGCTCCGGCCGTCTTGAAGGCCTTTCACCCTTCCTTCGCCCCACTGTCACTGCCACTGCCACAGGTGGCCCCTCCAGGACGTCCCTCCTTTGGGAGATGTTCCCTGGTTTTATTAACACACACACTGGGCTGACCAGAGGCCAGGGATGAGTCCCAGGCCTACCTCTGAGGCCAAGCCCTGGAAACAAGCCTCACCAGCTCTGCCTGAGCAAAATACCTTTCCACCACGTGAGTCCCAAGTCAAGTGACCAAAACTAGTCAATTTCCTTCTAAGTCATGTGCTTCTGAAGCACGAGCCAGAGCCGGCCCTCGAGCCACCCCTTCCCTCCTATTCCAACCCAGCGTTCCTCCCACACACTGGAATAACGAATTCCTCTGGCATGGGGGGAAGGGCATGGGGGGAGGGGCCAGCCGGAGAGGATGATGGGAGGGCTTTGTGGAGAGGCCCTCACTTACCACAGGAAGCCTGAGCAAAAGTGCATCAGGCCTACACAGGGGTCCCCTTCCACGCCTGGGCCCCGGGCCTCCAGTCCTCAAGGCCTACCTTGGAAGAACACTATCACCCTCGCCACACGCGCCGGGGAGCCAACCACGTGCCCCAAGTCCTGATTTCCGGTCTCCTTCCGGCCCCAGGGGCTCAGCCCATTGGCCAAACCACATGCCACTCACAAGATGGCGTCGCCTCATTGGCTCGTCCTTTCACACAGTCTAGGCGTGCTTAAAGTTACCAAGAGCCTAGGCATTGGGAAATCCTGATACCCTTCTCTCCCACGCACTTCCATGTTGACAGTGACCAGCCCGATCCTCCCAGGTTAAAGGCTGTAGGGTGTAGGTCGTAAATAGCAGCTTGATGTTGGGATGTAGCTCAGTGGTTAAAAGGCTTGCCAAACTGGGTTTCATCCCCACCACCGCAGGAAAAAAAAAGTTATACAAATTATTTAACCTTGATGAAGTCCTAACTTTCTATCCTTTTTGGAACACTGACCAAGCCTTGCACAGAAGAGTCAGTCATTATGCATTGAAACTGTAGGTTAGGTACAGGATTCAGCAAGTGGTCTGGTTTGAAGAATGGCAACAGTAATTCCAGATGATTTTCTGAACACAAATGTTCTGTAATCTGAAACAAGCATCATTTGTTACAAAGGGGATGTGCCCTGTCTCAAAACAAAACCAGCAACAACAAAAGGGGGGGTATAAATTGGGTTCCTTTGATTTTTACTCTTGATGGAAGAGCAGGTGGTTTCTGTATTGTTTCTAAGTAATCTGTACCTCATAAATACTATTTCACCAAAGGAAAATCCATACAATCTTGGTGTTGATTGGAGATAAAGATTGTTGGAGCATTCTGAAATGTGGGCATCTGTTTAGACTCTTTCCAAAGCTAATCAACATCTCATACAGTGTATATTCCCTATCAGAACACTTCTGTTCTAAACTGTCCATCTTTAGGATAGCAACTGGAGTTACAGATAGTTGTTAGCCACCATGTGGGTGCTGGGAATAGAATCCGGGTCCTCTGGAAGAACAGCAAGTGTTCTTAACTGCTGAGCCATCTCTCCAGCTCCCTGAAGTGTTCTTTTACAGAAACACAAAACACTAAGACCCTGAGATACCTAGATCACAAAAAGGCAGTGGATGTTATCTTAGTCTGATTTCTATTGCCATAGCAGAATACCCAAGTCTGGGTAATTTACAAGGGAAATCAATTTACTTCTCATAGTTCTGGAGGCTGAATGTCAAGATGGAAGGGCAGTGTCTGGTGTGAGTCTTCCTCCTGTATCAAAACACAGCAGAAGAGGACAACGGGGGGGGGGGGGGGCGGGGGGGGGGGGGGGACACGGGGACGGGGACGACACAGGGATGACGACGACACAAGAGAACACGTACATAGAAAGCACTCCTTTGAAACAGCATTAATCTACTCCTGAGAGTGGAGCCCTGGTAACCTGATCACCTCTTATGGGTCCACTTCCCAAAACTGCCAATTGCAATTAAATGTCACCTTGAGTTTTGGAGGGGATATTCAAACCAAAGCAGAGGTAGAGTTAGAAATTGTTCTGAGTTGAAATTTTGAGAAGGTCATTCCCTTGCTCAACAGTACCAGATGCCTGGGTAGAGTGAGCAGTGTGGAAGGTCCACTGACTACCTTGAGTGGTTAGAGAACCCATTGTGATCAGTGCCATTGTTAGACTGCAAATGTCTACAAAGTTGAAAATATGACAAAGATTTTTATTTTCAAGAAGCACAATGGAATGGCCAAAGTCATCTCACTGGATGGGGGCAGCAGTGCTAGAACCCGAAGAAGTGTCTGCAATAATGAGCTAGTAGCCGCAAGAGGGGTGTCAGAGTTTGGGTGGTACTATGGTTTGGATATGTAGTAACCTCCACAAAAGGTGCATGTGTTTAAAAAAGGTTTGCTAGCTAATAGGGCTTTTGGAATTGGGTCATGAGGACTCTGATTTCTTTAGTAGGTTAGTCTATTGACAGATTCACAATTTGATGGCACTACTGGAGGTCGTAGAGGCTTCAGGAAGGAGCCTAGTTGGAGGAAGTAGGTCACTAGAGGATGCGTCTTTAATAATATATCTTGCCCTGGCCCCTTCCTGTTTCTGCTTCCCTGCCATGAAGTGAGCAGCTCTCTTCCATCACATCCTTCCAACATGACAAGCCCAGAAACGATGGAGCCAGCAGGCCATGGATTATAACCTTTAAGCTCCTTTAAACTGTTTCTTTCAGATATTTGTCATGGCAGTGAAAACTAACACAGAAGAGCTCAAGAGCCTGATGCTGTGCACTACAGTCTTCCTTACTAAGAGAAAAATAGTTCAAGTTTTTTTGAGACAAGGTCTCATATAGCATAGACTGGCCTCTTAAAAGATAGCCTTGAGCTTCTGATCCTTCTGCCTCTATCTCCAAAGTAAGGGAATTAGAGGCAAGCACCACCACACCCAGTTTATGTAGTGCTGGGGATCAGACCCCCGGTTCATGCACACTAGACACTCTACCAGCTGAGCTATATTCCCAGCCTGCTCCCCACCTTTTTATTTTTTTATTTTTGTTTTTTGAGATGGGGTTGCACTATATACTCAAGACTGTCCTGGAATTCACTATGTAACCCAGACAAGTCTTGAACTTACAGCAATACTCCTGCCTCAGCTTCCCAAATGTTGGGATCACAAGCATGTGCCACCATGCATGATTGACAGTTCAACTGTTAACTTTTTATTTTTATGTGTTTTGCCTGCATGTATGTAAGAGCACTCGTGCATGGAATGCTCACAGAGGCCATAAGAAGTCATCAGATGCTGCATGCAATGCTCATAGAGGCCATAAGAGGTCATCAGATGCCCTGGAACTAGAGTTAAAGATGGTTCTTAGTTGTCATGTAGGTTCTGGGACCTGAACCCAGGTCTTCTGGAAGAGCAGTAAGTGCTCTTAACCTCTGATCCATCTTGTCAGCCCAGACAGTTTAACTTTTTTTTTTTT